GTTGTAAACCCTGCAACTCCAAGATTTACAGCTCATTCCAGCCTTGCGATCTACTACCGTAGATACTATCCAGCCAACCTGCTAGATCTCCCGATCTACGTCCTGTAGTTTCCAAGTTCTGCTGTACTTACAGACTCACAATCTTCTGCACACGTCTCTTCCAAATGGATCTCCAAAAATCACCTATTCCCGTTCTCCTTCCTGCGCTTGTAGTCCAACCTTCTCAACCTCTAGTAACCTCTGGAGTTGAACTGAGAAAGTACCTTCCTAAGGATGTTTAGGAAGTAGGTGTTTTGGATTCTTCAATTTGATGTTTTCCACAAGTGGTTGTTTGATCTCAAGAACAAATGATAAATCAATGAATGAAAGTCGCCTAATTTTTCTCCTCAAGCTACCACCAATGTGTGTGTATATATATTATAATCCTTTTTGTAGCAACCCAATCTGTATGTATATATATTCTATAATTCCAGCAGCCCACTCTTCTCACCTCTGCCTGCGTGTGAATCTATATAATATAGCAGCAATTTTGACCTCCAAAATGGCCTCCAATTCCTTTATTGTCTGCCTTCCACTATGTATATATATTATATTCTAATTGAGCCACCCAAGTGTGCATATATACAATTCATAGCCACCATCCACTTCTCTCCACTGACGCCCAACTATAGTTCAGCCGTCCTCTCTTTTTCTCTCACGTAATTCGGCTTACATTATGGCTTTTGCGTGTGGGTATATATATATAATCTGATTGAGAGCCCAATTGCAGCCCAATAGTATCTCAAACCCTAACCTACATAAATAAACTATATAATATTCCAACTAACTCCTTAACTTTTTACAACATATTTATTTCAGTCATTTTGTTTACAGAATTGCCAATTTCATAAAACCTAACAAATTCAATCAATTTTGTGAGAAACATGTCTTACGTAAGGAATTGGCAGCACCATATACTTTGGAGCAAAATAGATTGGCTGAAAGGAAGAATCAAACGGTTGTTGAGTTGACAAGACGCTAAAGGTTAAAGGAATTCCAGACCAATTTTGGGCAGAGGCCATTGCTATTGCATTCTCTATTCATTCTTCACATACCGATACCTACGTCACGGCTGTATGGTTAGGTTGTTGACAAATTTGACGAGGGGTATCACGTCCAGCCAAAGATGTTTTGAACCAAACTTCATATGAAGCTTAGAATGGTACAAGACCTTGTGTAAGTCACATAATTGTAGTAAGCTCGATGAAAAATCTGTAAAATGCATTTTTATGGGTTATTGTTATCAATTTAATGCATATATGCTATATAATCCTATTAGTAGCAAAGAATTTATCAACAAGAATGTTGTATTTGACAAAGAAACAAGCTGGAATTAGCATGAAAATGATGAAGTTGCTGATTAGAATAATGAAACCATTCATATC